CCTCTCTCACTCAGGTTTTTTTACCCACAATAAGAATTTCTGGTTTAATCTTTTTTCAACCTCAAATGTCATCAATTGTACAATATTGAACATGCAGTTAGACAAATTTTCTTTTGCAACAGTGTTTTTATTGCATCAGCATAAAGATGATAATTTAAGCTATATTTCTGAATTAAACCAAAAGGAAGCACATATAATAAAAATAAAATCAGCCCAAGGATAGAACCTTGAGGAACACCATATAATATGGCATGATCCTATGATCAACAGTGATCTATGTTTACTATAAATGTCCTTTCTCTAAGATACGTACTGAACCAATTTTAAACTTTCCCTTTTTGTCTTTTTTAAATATTTATTTATATTTATAACAAATATTTATATTTTTTTACGCTAGCATGCAGTATGACTGTCTCAATTTCTTTTGCATGTTTAAGAACAGCTGAAGTTTGGGAAGCAATATCAAGTACCCGAGCTTCCGGGAAACATTGTTTTTGAACTTCATGTGTAATCTTTATTTAAATCTATGATGTGAATAAAAATAGTAGTGTCTATCTTGTGAGTGTTCCAGCTTCCATACATCCAATAAATACATCCAACATCCATATGAAACGGTACACTTTACTTCGTTAGCAGGCACTGATTTAGTTGAAAATCTATCAAGTATATTTTCTAAAAAAAAGACAATGAACACTTGATTTTAAATTAACAAACAGTCATCAATATTTGTAGCATAAATACTTAAAATTGTTCTTTGTCCAGAATAAATATGTCCTTGTATATGTCGAAGACAGATTATGTAAATGATAAATTTTTATGTATTAATACAGCAGCACTGATTCATGTGGAATTAAACAATGGTGCAAATACTTGGCCTACTCATTCTTCTTTTAATTTCTAATGCCCAGCCTCTGTCAAATCTGTTTTCTGCAGAAAAAATAATTTCTGCTTCTTTTTGCTAGCTTCTTAAGATATGCATAAACTCAATATAGACCCATCACATTAAATGTCACAAGTTTCAATGTTTTTTTTTTTTATAGTAGCCTGATGATTAGTCAACTCCATATCAAACTCTCCACAAATTTGAAATATTGACTTGTACCTTTCCAAAATAAAAGAAAGAAATATGCAAAAAATAAAACCTTAACATTGAAAGCACTCAACCAAAACATCAGCAAATAGAAAAAGAACACTGTTGAGAAACAATTCGCTCACAACTGATCAAAAGCTGTGACATAATGTTATATATGAAAAGGACTGATAAATACAAGATTATACAAGATTTATAGAAAATTCTATTCTGTTGCATCAACATAAATTATTTATTAGCTCCACAGAAAATCATCAGACATAATGGCTACACAACATGCATGAAAAGTATCGCTGTAGTTTATCTATCGCTGTAGAAATTCAGTGACACTCAATGGTAAAAATGATAGTAACACATATTGTGGGCCCTACAGTGCAAATGCAGAGAAACTATTGTTATATAGTGTATGCAGACGGTGACGAGTCTGCATACAGACAGTAGGTGGAGCGGCTGGCGTTTTGGTGCAGATACAACAACCTGGAGCTAAACACGCTCAAAACAGTAGAGATGATAGTGGACTTCAGGAGAAACCCCCCTGCACTCCCCCCACTCACCATCATGAACTGCAGTAGAGTCATTCAGATTCCTGGGCACCACCATCTCTCAGGATCTGACGTGGGACATTCACGTAGACTCTATTAGATGCAATCCCAGCAGAAACTGTACATGTACTTCCTTCGTCAGCTGAGGAAGTTTAACCTGCCACAGGAGCTTCTCGTGCAGTTCTACTCAGCTGTCATCCAATCCATCCTCTGCACTTCAAACACCGTCTGGTTTTGTGTTGTCACTTGTCACTTTATGTACACTGGAAACTTCTGTAGCCAAAACAAATTCCTTGTGTGTGTGAAGCACACTTGTCAATAAAACTGATTCTGATTTTCTATTGTTATAGAGCAGACATTTGTCTGACACAGTCCTTCGGCAGAATTCACAATTATGTTTTTTTTTGTTTGGCCAGATGATGGCTGGTTGCTCTGGCTGAGAATGGTTTCTCCCAAGATTTTTCTTCATTTCTGCCGGTTGATGGAATTTTTGTTAGGGTTAGGGTGTCACCCTAACTGTCATCTCTGGTGTGCTTGATTCAGCTTGATTCCTTTAGTAGAGCTGCTCTCCAGTCTTCAACGGTGAACTGAACCTCAACATTGACATTTGTGTTAAACTAAACTAAAACTAATTTACAGCCTTTGCCGTGAAGTTCTAAACTGATCTCAAATATATTGTGTTTCCTCTGATCATTCTTGAGATGTCCAGCAGCTTAAATGAAGTCCAACTGTGGTAAATTCAGTTGATTGGGCATGATTTGAAAAGGCATACACCTGTCTATATATCACTTCTCATTCAACCTGATAGAGCTTGAGAGGTACTGCAAATAGTTATGGGCAAAACTTCCCAAAGACAGGCGTACCAAGCTTGCATCATATTCAAAAAGACTTGAGGCTGTAGTTGCTGCCAAAGGTGCATCAACAAAGTATTGAGCAAAGGTTGGAATTCTTACGCACGTGATTTTACAGGTTTTTTTTATTTTTTAACAAATTTGCAACAATTTCAAAAAAATATTTTTTTTCCCATTGTCATTATGGGGTGTTGTGTGTAGAATTTTGAGGAAATAAATAAATCTAATCCATTTTGGAATAAGGCTGTAACATAAAACAATGTGGAAAAAGTGAAGTGCTATGAATACTTTCCGATTGCACTGTATTGTTGCCACCATAGCTGTAATCCGGCCTTACAAGTTAAGCCCGACAGGGCCAGAGCCAGACAGAATTTGGCTCGAGGTAGACATTTTGATTGACAGCTTTTTAAAAGTCCGAACCTGTTTACTGCCTGAAATTATTCAAATGTATGCATGCACACAGCTTCTGTCATAAATCATGTTTTAACATAATTTATTAACATAGGCTATGTGTTCACTTGAAAACTGGAACAATAGAAATACAAAAAATCTCCTCCAACATCAATCAATCAATCATTCAATCAATCGACCAGCTCTCCAAATAATAACCTAAATAAGCCAACAGTACATGACAAAAAATTCAACCTCCTTGTCAATATTACAGTTTTTCTCAGTCGCTTTGGTGCATTTTTCACAACACTATTTACATTTGCACAACAGGTCATGCATTTCTCAAAACAATTAGTCATTTGTGCACATCCTAGTAGCAGTTTCTCATTCTTTTCAACAAATTGCAAATGCTTTTGGACATTCATCAATTGCTTTCATACAACTCTCTGCTGTTTATAACATTATCATCTGCTTATGTCATGTCAGTCAAAATTAACTATACTTGTAAATGCTGAATAGTCATTCCATATAAAACTAATAGTCCTCATTTCATTACTTGAGTCATTACATACAAAAATGTTGAACTAGTTGTCAAAATCTATCAAGCTAATTTTTTAAAACAAATTTAAATCTTTATATTACTGAAAAATATCTTTAAAATTGAACAATTTGATGAATGATTTACAGACCTGTGTATGTTGCAGGCTCAGTTCCAATTTGTACTGCAATATTGTGTACAGTTGTGCACAGCTCTACCTAAAGGGAGTTCATGTTTGTTGTAAATAAGGGTGTGTTTATTCTTTTGCACAATGCTGGGAATAAATTAGAATTGCAAAGAGCATCTGCAGTAAAAATGTGAAACATACATATTCAGTGTCTTGTACTCAGATACCTCACTCAATGCAGTGATGTCTAACTTTACTGTAGTTTTCAAATAGCTGTTCTAATAATATACAGTGCTGTCTTGAGCATTTTCAGGAAGTGTCACCAAAATATGACTTTTTTGCATTGAAAAAATGTATTGAGTAAACTGTCATAATGAAAACATGACTAAGCCATTTGACTATCTTGTTCATAAACAATGGTGTCAGGACGTTTCGTTTTGATGATACTGACACTTTGATTGACATGAATACTTGCTTTTCAGGAATGAACTATCCATTTTGAGCAGGTGACACGCTTTTGCAGGTTATCAGCTAGGTTTTGCAGTTTGTACTAATAGTTTTGAGGAATGCATTAAATGTTGTGCAAAAATGCACTAGTGTTGTGAGAAACGCACCAAAGCGACTGAGAAAAACTGTAAAAGACCTAATATCTTTACAGCAAAAGCTGACACATTTCTCTGTCATCATTTGCTTCACCTTTATAGGGATGGGTTTTGATTTAACAACGATTCGATTGTAGGTTGATTCTGCTTGGCTCAGGTGTCGAACGACTTCAATCAGCATGTCATATCAATGATGACGTACCTGTCATTTTGCTGTCATACTGTTGCATTACATTTCAAATAAACCACTGGCTCAACCAAACATAATCACCTATGGAAAGCCTCTGTTTTATCCCCTTGGTATTTAATTTTATGCTTTATTATACTAATCACATGCATCACATGACTGCTCATTTTGCAAGCCCGGGACCTTGTAGAATGATATTCAGATCTATTCCTGAGCTTAAAGTATACAGTATTGTTTTGCAAAATATTGCTAATGTAAAGTAGTGAAGTGATCCCACTGGCTGATCTTATTAAAATCAGTATAAAGCAGATGTGCTGATAGTTAGACAGTTCACCCAAAAAAGTAACATTACTCACCATTTACTAACCCTTCAATGGTTTCAAATTTTTATGAATGTTTTTCTTTTTACAGGTTTTCAGCTTTTTACAAAATACATATACTTTTTTCAAACTCACAAAGGTTTGTAAAAAAAACATAAGTGAATCATAACTGTCATTATAACTGAGTCACAATATCTGTATAATTTCTACTCGTTTGTGGCTGAAATATTTAGATTTTCTTCATTAAGAGTGATATTAGTATATATTCTAAAACGATTTATTTTTCTCTCTTATTAATAGTTTGCCTGTAATTACTATATTCAAATGTAAATTTGTTTGTGTGTGTTTACCAGGTGTTACAGTTGATTCAGGAGAGAAGTAATATATGCAAGCACCTCCATTTGCCAGCGCAGAGTGGCAGCAGTCGGATTCTTCATGCTATGAGACGTGGGTAAGAACTGTTAAAGTACTTGGTGTTCTGGGCCTTCTTTAAGCAATGCTTTTAATGTGCTGTAAGTTTAAAAGTGCTGATGGTGTTAAATGCAGAACAGTTATCAGTGAACACTATCTACATGTAAAGCCTGAAGATAATGTTTTACCTTACAATGGCATAATATTGTGGTCTGGTAGTCTAATAACCAAAATGGTTGGGGGCCTTTGTGATTAAAACTGGCATTTTGGTATTTTTCCTGCCAAGTAATATATAGCTGGAACCGTATTTGACCTTTAAATTAATTAAAAGGTTTTATGCAGATTTAAGGGAGTTTGTAGCTGTGGCACTAGTGTGAACTTTTTTTTTTTATGTAAGCAACTTTAGCTTTTTTCACCTATTATAAATGAGAGATACTTTCAATGTGTCAAGTCAATGTGCCAAGTTGAAATGAAAATATGCAGCTTGTTTTTATAAATTGTCCGAGTTATGCACCATAATCGGTCTGGTTGAATTTCATGCCATTTTATACATCTCTTGCTACTACTTCACACATGCCCACATCCAAGCAAATTATGGACTGCTCTCCTTCCACCTTTTTTGTAAACAGATTGCAAAGTGGCTAACCATTTTGACATTTCACCTTTCCTTTTCTCATCCAACAAAATTAAAGGATAATTTTGAGTGTTATCTCTAGAAACATCTAACTGCAACAACAGAGTCTGGATGCATATATATAAATGTAGGACTTGGTAAATGATTACCAAGGACCTGTCTATATTCCTTTATTGCAGAAAGGGAAACACACAATAAATGTATTTAAAACTTTATTCATTTATTCATTCATTCATTTTCTTGTCAGCTTAGTCCCTTTATTAATCCGAGGTCGCCACAGTGGAATGAACCGCCAACTTATCCAGCAAGTTTTTACGCAGCAGATGCCCTTCCAGCCGCATACCATCTCTGGGAAATTTAAAACTTTGTAATGAAGAATTATATTAATAATGGTTTATAAAATATAAATCTGCATCTGTCAAATTAAATGCTAATATGTTTTCAAAACTGACAGAAAATAATTCAATGAACAGCCGTTGGTGATTGAAGGTTAATGCAGTGGGGTCTGAACATCGCACTGTGAGTGAATTAAAAAATAAATGGTAGATGTAAAGGTGCAGGTTATGAGGAGAACAGTGGCGCATCGTCAAAGTGTGGAGCGAACAGGCAGAGGGAACAGGGAATGCTGAACTAACACACTGAGGATAGAGTTGCCTCAATTGTGGGCAACACTTTACTGTCTGGAGTAGTATCCGTGTTTGTGGGAGATACAGATGTATTAGAGGAACACTTTGTTAGGGTATAGCAGCACCCCTCCACTCTTATCAAGGCAGCAGCCCAAACGCTCGCTCTACAACTGGCCAAGTGCCTGCCACAGTGTTTATACATGAGGCCCCTGATGAGTGCAGATGTGATGTCATGAATTAAGGTAGCAAATTATCAAAAACTTGTTATATCAGATTTCGAATTTACTATGAACTAATGATGAACAATGATTTTTACATAAGCTTTCTTAATGTTAACATACTCTTAGGTATTTTAATGTTTCCCTTTTTAATAACAACTTAATTAGTTAATGTTTACTTACACATATACATATTATTTGTAGGTTAAATAACATGATCAAACAATAAAACAAATTTTTTTTTTTCAATTTTTGCTTACTTTTTGTCTGGCAAATCTGGCAAAATTCTTCCTGTTATGTAACAGAAAAGTATCTGAAAGAGGTGCATGTTTTTCACTAATTTGAGATCCAGTAAAATCGTTAATCACTGCTATGTAATAAACCCATAGATATTAGTAACACAAAAGTTATAATGTTGGTTAGCTGGGTAAGTCAGCAAAGAGTTTACAAATGTAACATGTTGAAGTAGTGTACACTTTACAATAAGGTTCCTAATTCCCTTAAAGAGCCCATATTATACATGAAATAGGGTCATATTTTGGTTGTAACGGTCTCCAACAACAGTCTAATATGCATGCAAGGTCAAAAAAAACTTTCATGTTCTTATTATCTGCATTTATTTTTACCTAACTATCCCAGCGACTCCCATATGAATCATCTAGTGATTCATTTGTTCCCAAACCCCTCCTTAGCGCGAAGCTAATCTGCGCTGATTGGACCGATGACAGTATGTTGTGATTGGCCCACACTTACTGCCTTCAGCGAGAGGCAGAGTGAAATGCCCAGCAGCTAATCAACATTATAAAAGTAGTCACAGTGCATACACGCTCAATAGTGTAAGGCCAGTGGGTGAATGTAAATACAGACGATGGTCTTAAAAAAATATCGACGACTAACGATTTTATTGAGCTAACTCTCCAAGAACTGGCGAGGAGATCTCCTAGCTTGTCACTCTCTGCTCTTTTCACAGACTCAGACACACACACACACACACACACACACACACACACAGATATTGCCCGCACACACACACACATAACCCTTCTCCGGACGACAACGTACACACACACACACACATACACACACATATACACACATAACCCTCCACCGGACGACAACGCGCGCGCGCGCGCACGCACACACACACACACACACACACACACACACACACACACAGATATTACCCTCCTCCACGGAACGTAAACAAATCGGCATGCATCGCGTTTTTAATGTGGCTTAACACACGATATGAGAATATAGCGAATTAACCTGATACAGTACACGCGGTTATAAGTAACAAATCACAACTAAATACATTTGCAAGCTAGAGTAAACGAGGCAACAACTTTAATCGCACATACTTACACTTGAGAAATGGAGGAAAAAAACGATCCAGGTTCAGTACTCTTTACTGATCCTTCCTTTAACAAACGGCTGATGGAGTATTCTTTGTAGCATGTAGTTTTCAGAAGTTGCCAGTAGTTTCCAACTGCTTAAGGGTTATAATGCTAAGGTTTCATCTTTGGGTAAAGACTCAATAATATCCATCTGCAGTGTGACTTCAATCGACCGGCATGTTTGTGTGTGTGTGTGTGTGTGTGTGTGTGTGTGTGTGTGTGTGTGTGCGTGCGTGCGTGCGTGCGTGCATGCGTGCGTGCGTGCGTGTGTTTGGGTTTTTCTGTGTTATAGGGCGGGGCCACAGGTTTCAAATCTCCCGGGTTTGCGTGTGCGCGTGGATAACATTGGTTCCCCTTCGGGGGGAACTCCAGCACTATAAGTGGATTTGATTGTTAAAATCCACGTATTGGGAGGTTCGATTCAGAAGCTACTCGTCTGAAAGAGTATTGAACGGGCCAATTAAGAATGAATTGGCAGCGCAAGCCTGCGCAGGTGAGCGGCATAAGCAATCATATATAAGCTCACCTGGCGCCAGCAGACGCTATCCTTTTCGCTTCAGAGCCTTTTCTGATCGAGCTTATGAGGGTTCCTCCTGCTGATCCACAGCCATTTCGAGAGAACGATTGTATCCCGGTCCAGAGCGAGTCCACGCAGCGGCAGACGGTCGAGCTGGGTATCTCCCTTGCCTGGCGTCCCTTTGGGTCCGGTCCTCCAAGAGCGTTGCGTATTGTTGCAAATCCTAAAAGAGCAACACAGTCGTGCAGCACGTCCTTTTCAGGATGGCGCTCCGACTGTGCGTTTCTGGTTGCGGGGGTTTCCTGGCTCCGGATGATGGACACGATCACTGCATTACATGTTTGGGGGTCCAGCATGTTAATGTGGTGCTCGGGGGCGGTTCATGTCGTCACTGCGATGCCATGACCGTTGCGCAGTTGAGATCGCGGTTAGCTTTCGTAAGAGAGCGAGCCACCCCAGTTGCCTCCTGCTCTGCAGCGGGCGCTCGGGCAGATCTGAGGGCTTCAGTGAGAGACAATCCGCCGCCCACGGGCTCGCGGACCTCTCGCTCCTCCAAGCGCTCCATCCAAGCTTCGGGTACGGCAAGTGATCCGTCTAATCAGATGGTAGCTCTCACGCTCGCTGACACCGGAGATCAGATGTCCTCCGCTGCATCGGAGGGTGGGCTTTCATTGTTCGACGATGATCCGGACCCGCTCGCCCCCTCTGGGCAAGCGAGCGCCGTCAAAATGGATCCTGAAGCGGACATGTTGGCCGTGCTTTCTCGGGCTGCTTCGGCCGTCGGGTTGGAGATGGTTTATCCCCCAGCCCCGCGGCCGGACCGACTAGATGGGTGTTACGTAGAGGATCAGAAGGCGAAGCCTTCGAAGCCTCTCGTCCCCTTCTTCCCGGAAGTGCACAGTAGGCTCACGCAGTCCTGGAGGGCACCTTTCTTTGCCCGCGCTGCGTCCGCCTCCGCCCTCACCACCCTGGATGGTGGAGCTGCCAGGGGATATGAGGCGATCCCGCAGGTGGAGCGCGCCATTGCGGTCAATCTTTGTCCGCGTGGCGCCCCCGCTTTGCATGGTCCACCCCGTCTCCCGTCCAAAGCCTGTAAGTTTTCTGCCTCCCTCGGAGCTAGAGCTTACAAGGCTGCGGGCCAGGCAGCTTCCGCCTTGCATGCGATGGCCACCTACCAGCGCTACCAAGCGCAGGCGCTGGCCGAGCTGCACGAGGGTGGGTCTAACCCAGGCTTGTTACACGAGCTGCGTACGGCGACCGACTATGCTCTCCGGACCACTAAGTCCGCCGCCTGCGGACTGGGGAGGCCGATGTCCACACTTGTGGTCCAGGAACGCCACCTCTGGCTAAACCTGGCAGATATGCGCGATGTCGACAAAGTTCGCTTTCTTGACGCGCCCATATCCCAGGCTGGCCTGTTCGGCGACACCGTCGGTAAATTTACCCAGGAGTTCAAGGCGGTGAAGGAGCAGTAGGATGCGATGGGCAAAGTCATCTATCGCCGGGGCCGTAAGCCCGCTCCATCCCCGGCCGAGCCATCCACCTCTGCTGCTCCTCGCCGAGGGTGCCCGACAACGGCCGATGCCCCGCCCCCGCCTCCGCCTCCGGCGAAGCGAGCGCGTCGAGCACGCCGAAAGCCGGTAGCCCC